GACCATGTCTTAGGATACTGGCAGGCTAGCTTGGTAGAACCAAACAAGGTTATTTTTCTCAAGTATGAAGATCTGAAAATGGACATCAACTTTCACACTAAAAAGCTGGCTGATTTCCTGGGATTCCCTTTGACTATGGAGGAGAGCAATGGTGTGATGGAGGAGATATCCAGGTTGTGTAGTTTTGAAAATCTCAGAGATTTGCAAGTTAACAAGGCTGGTGTTGACCATCTTGGTGTTGGTCCAAATAGTGCCTTTTTTCAGGAAAGCGAAGGTTGGAGATTGGGCCAATTATTTGACTCCTTCAATGGCTGAACGTTTAGAGAACCTCGTGGAAGGAAAGTTGCACGGCTCTGGTTTAACCTTCAAGGCTCACGGCGCTCACCCCAACCGGAGCTCATGACTGGCATATCTTGATGAGTGGACTTCATTTGGTTTCTTCTCGTGCTTGTTCTACCTTTATCTGTTTTTATTGTCTGTCTGCAATAAGTGTATGCCACTTCTTTTGGTTTAACCTTCTCTAGTGCTGCTTGTTCTTCCTCTGCTGTATTCACCGATCTATACGTCTGCAATAATAAGTGTATGCTGCTACTGTTGTGTAAGCTCAAAGGCAGTTGCAAGGTCATAATGAGACCAAAGTATTGACACGAGGTTATTCTTGGTAGTTTAAGATATTCATGAGCACTAAAAGTTTAAAACTGAAAACAAAAATCAACAAAAATGAGAGAAGTAATTGCGATGAAGAAGACTGAGGTTGTTCTTCGTTGCTGTCTTCGACTCTTTTGTGAACAGTTTCTTGTCTTCTAGAGAATTGGCCAAATCTTCATGTATCATATATATCGGAAGATATGTATTGTATCGTGAATTATACGATACGTAACACACAAAAAAAACGATAAGAATCGTGCGATACTAATATCTACGATTATACATAAATCTTATTAGAGCAACTCATGAGAAAGTTATTGTCCCAACTAGATTCAAACTTACCAGTACTGGCTCATGAGAAAGTCATTAACTCTACTAAATGAGTTCACGATCGGCTAATGACTATTTCCCTAGTTACTGTTTCAGTACAGACAGTCCGACATGAAACAGAAACTGCCCATCACAATCTCAGTGCAATTCCAAAAATGACACCCAAACTTAGTCCCCATTAATGGCGTTGGAGAGGGATACACTGGATACAAAACTAACCTCGGCATTATTCGTACAAAGTGGTTGTTCTCAAGTTCAAATTGACAACTTCAAGTTTATTGGGCGAAATTTTAACCATTGAACCTGTGGCTCTCTTAATCTCAGTGCAATTCCAAATTTTTAGAGTCAAGATAATAAAACAACTATCCACTGATAGGTAACAACCAACAGAACCACACAGTAGAAGCTAAGGATATTGACACAATAATCAAAAATTTGAAAGTAAAAAACAGAATAACATAATGGGTAACAAGAAGAGCTTCATGCTTGAATCAAAAACTGAACTCAAAAACCCACAAGTAGTTCACAAATAAAAGCACATGGGTTTATGATATTGTACCAAAAACAGTTTATCCTTAACCATGTTAGACATGTAAACACAGGACTGACCCACTTCATGGCCCAGTCTCAAAAGGGGTTATAATCAAACTGATTCCCTTCTCTTGATACAATCAGATCTCATCTCTTCGGCCTCTCTTTCCTTAAATATTGATGCAAGTCACTTCCAATCAACTGTTACAATCAATCTCCACAATTTGCTCTCTTTCCTGTTCAAACTCCTACATATACATATTCTTTCTAGATAAACCCCCCACTTTGAAAGAGCAATCCTATTGGTATCTAATTCCTTATGAACTTTAGATTGATTGTGGCCCCATTAAATATTAAAACTTGGTGTTAACCAATAGTTTCATTCAACAAATTAGATTAAATTTTTAGGTCTAAATAACATTATTCAAATTGAAATAGCATAACTTTAACTAGTTCTTGCACAATTATTTTGGCTGGTTTACTTGGAAACCGAACAGAAGACAATGTAAGAACTCGGATTTCTTTTATTTTTGTTTCCTCAGCCACTAGACAATGCCAACAACAGAAATTCCTAAATCACTGTTTGGCTGCTCAGAAGATAAAGGAAATTAGAAATGAAAACTGGAAAAGTGTACTGTACGAACGCATGGGAGTTGGTGTTGAAAAACACATTATTTTTTTTTTTTTTTTGGAGAACGATCATCTACTGCCCTGATGACCCAGAACAAGGGCCAACAGAGCTGTTAATCATGCTCTGATCACACGGTCACGTTTCATCCACCAGACTTGGTTTCCTTTCTCCTTAGAACACAAGGATTCGGAGGTACGAGCCTATAGAACAGATCCTGTTCAAGTAAGGTCATGGTGTTGAAAAACATTGAGTTTCATTTTCTTTCCATTTCTCGGAATCCAAACAGAACGATTGTGCACTGCAAAAAATATAAAATAAAATGCAGAGGGAGTGAAGAAGGAAGAGCTTACACCGCTTCAGGAAGGAATCCTACAAATTCACAGAGAGAGACCTTGAAGACATGTTTACCAAAAAAAAAAAAGAGACCTTAAAAAAAAAACAAAAACACAGACGACCACAGTGGGAGTCGAACCCACGACCTTCTGATCCGAAGTCAGACGCGCTAATCCACTGCGCTATGCGGTCTATTGAAATAAAACTGTGAAGAAATATATTTAACTCAATCCACTTCTTCCGTTTTATGCTTCCTATTTTTTTATTTTTTGTCAGTAAAAAAAAAAAATTATTTATGCATCTCCATCAATATTTAGGTGGGACAGAAATCTTATTATCCATCTCGCAACACCGATCCTAATCCTATTTAAAAAAATTATTAACAAATTATCTAATATTAATGGATAAATAATCTGTTTATATACAAAGAATCATATCTGAATTTACGGTAAGTGAACAACAAAAAAATAAAAAAAATAGAGGCCAATGTACTATAGAGAGGATTTCATATCTTGCAATATAACCCTCACAATCTTACATTTATGAAGGTCAAATGTAAAAACAATATAATTAAAACCCTATTATTAAAGTTAACTACATTAAATAGAATACAAACTAATCAAAAATTTATAAGATGACACGAATGGAATTTTTTTTGTTTTCAGTTCAATAATCAAAGGTGTCGGGACTAGCTTACGCACATCTCACCTAATCTCCTCTCCGATCTAATAAAAAACAAGTTATCTATATCAGGATTAAGGTATTCATGAAAAAAAAAAAAAATTAATTGATTGATCTTCTTTCCCTCTATTTTCTTAATTTTTGTTGATTATATTTAATCTCCTTTATAAATGGTGTAGCTGCTAAGTTATGCACCTTAAAAGTAATATGGTTTGGTCACTTTTCATGATTTCAATTTGGTTCAAAATCACGAAGAGTTTTAAGATATAAGACGATAATTTTGTTATTGAATCAAATTACACATATAATTATAGTGACCTCTTTTAATGTTCGCTTGGATACTTGGACCGTCTTGTTTTTTGCAACTATTGTAAGAAAACGACATAGAGAAAACAAAGAAATTTGAATCTGAAAAACTATGCTTAGGAAATGCTTTTGCCGAGCACAACATCAAAATATGAGTGTCAAAATATGATACCTACTATTAACACGACACAACACGGACACTTAACAAAATTAGAGAGTTTAAATCTTTATTAAGTTACCTATTTACTAAACTAGTGAACATGACACAACACGACATAATTAATAAACGAATTAAATTTGGATAAAATCAATTACACGACACGACACGACACAACTCGTTTATATACCAATTATTCACGGTTCATACACGATACAAATCCGATATAACATAATTAGTTAAACATAAATTAATAAACAAATCAAGTATAAATTCAATATTTTTTAATACGAACCCACCTCAATTGATACAATTAACAGACCTATCAGAGTAAGGAGGAATGTGTATCATTTCAAACAAAAAAAAAACCTAAATATTTTTATTCTTACTCAAACAAGAAGTTCTATTGTTTAAAACTCTCCTTTAATAACCCCGAAGCTTATGCATTTTTGTTTTAATCCTTCTCTGCCCAGACCTGTTACTTGATTATTTGCGAGACAAGCAGCTATGTCAACCATGGCCGCAAAGAAATGGCCATCTACAAACTGGACTTGATGATCACTGTAAGCAGATTATACATAAGTACATTTCATCACCAAAGCGGTCTTAATTAACCAATAACACATAAAAATGGCCATCTAAATACTGCGCTTTATATTCAAGAGCAGATTATAACCATAACTCACCTTTATCCAATTTTTGTCCCAATCTTTTATAGTTTGTTCCAAGCACGGATAAAGGACACTAGTCCAAAATGATGGATATCAAACTATAATACGAGTCATTAACACAACACAAGTTTAGATGGTTTGAGACTTCTTTAAGCCACTCATTTCATAAACGAGTAGACCTTACATGATAGGATTAATAAACAAATTGGATAGGGTGAAGTCAATCAAAAAAAATACACGAGTCCAATATGTCACAACTCATTTGACAAGAATTAATAAACAAAACGGGTATGAGTGAAGTATTTTTTTAAAATGAATTTGTTAAAATCCGACACAAACTCGTTTCACCCAACACAATTGACATACCAAAACTGACGAAATAAGATCCATATACCCAACAACCTCAAATAAACATGAATGTGATCCCAAAAAAATGGCCACATGTTGTATTGACCATTCAGGTTCACCAACAACTGGGCAGTTCTAGTAATGCTCTTTCAGATTCAAGATCAACATGAAAGAAAGGACGCCAAAATCACCCTGCTCCTGAGGTGCATAACTCAAAAGTTCACCAGTCACAGAAAAACAGAGTCAAAACAGGACTATTTACCAAAATTAGTGTTTCAAAGTTTAGAGACTTTTTTTCCATGTAGATGGCGAGGAACGTGCACAAATGATTCCGAAACCTCTCTCTCTCTCTCTCACACACACACATGCACGCGCATCAACATATATGAAAGATATTGAGTGGTCTCATCACCTTCAATGGCGTCCTACTATATCTCACCCATTGCTCGACCCTTCTCACCATCTCCCCTGTAAAATTAAAACAAAATATCAACGAAGGTGCTTCAGCATATATGATTAAAACAAAATATCAACAAAGGTGCTTCAGCATATATGAAGTGTCTGAAATCATAAAAAAGAAATTTGCTCTGCCTGTCACCAAAATGGTGACATATCACTGAATTTTGCCTTACCATAGCAACCATGGCATCCACTCCTGGATTTTTGGTCAAAGATATCAGAATGCATTGCAAAGATGGAGATAGCCGAAAAGGCTAAACTCTCAAGGATGGTAAAATTTACAGGGGGTCCAAGATTAAAATAAATTAACATTATTTGAAACCTCTATTTCATACCAAAATACTTTCCTACAAATAGTCACCTCATCAATGGCCACCAGAAAGCAACTCTTTTATTAATGAAAAACTGCAGCTTATCAAGTGCAACAAGAGAGAAGGAAAGCAAGTACAGACTACAGAGAAATATTCATAATCCACAGCAATATTCCTTTTTGACAGAAAAGCATATTAATAAGGGGGTAAAAGGAATTGAAAAACTAAGGAATAAAATTGTTCAACTTAAAACCATGACCCTTCTTTGTAAGACAAAACAGTATGAGAATTGGATTGATAGCAGGCATATGTTCCCAGAACGCACCCCGGGTTTGCTCTTGTTGAAGCTTCTGAAATTTCAGTTTATCTGAAATCAAAGATCTCATTTAAATTTCATATCCTCTTCTACCCCACACAAACAATTCTTCTTACTTCTTCCAGGACAATTAAAGAGGTGCGCACAGCAGACAACCTCTACTCATACGAAGCATCCAGGATGTCATCCAAGTTGCATTTTCTGAACATAATTATCTCTCATCCCTTCAAGGATGAGAGATAATTATACTATTAAAATATGATTGACAACAAAACCCTCTCATGAAATCCACGCATGAAACTATCAGAAGCTCCAAGAGAAAACCTTGCAAGCGCAATTAACAGTCCCACTAAACTGGTTCCCCAAATCTAGGAGTGGTGAAGTAACCAAAACAATAATACTCCTTGGACATACTAATGCCAACATTAAGCCTTTTAACCCATCTTATTAAAATAATTGTTTAACCTACCAAATATTTCTCTCATTCAGACTTTGCACCCAAAAAAAATAGGAATCATACCTGTGCCATTATTGCAATTTTGACATAGTTCAAAACTACAACAAACATTGTCTTTCAAAATCATAAATTAACAGTTATAGTAAGGAAAGATATCTCACTTGGTCAGGGCCTGTATGCCCCATTGTTGCATAATGCCTTTGATCCCCCTGCGTGTTATTCCTCTGGTCCACCTGTGAGAACCTTTGATCTTCTCCCTGCCCATAGCCAGTAGCCATCCCTTGCCCCTGAATTCCAACTCCTTGCTCATAAGTACCACCTAATCCGTTCTCATAACTTCTGCCTTGTGGAGGTGCATAATTCCGATTGTCTCCCCTGAAGTCTCTCTGCTGAGGATCTCGTTGTCCTTGGGGATAAGAATTTCCCCGTTCCCCTTGATTGTAATTCACCTCATATGAAGGCACTGGATCTCTTCGCTCACCCGCTCCTGGTGGACCATAATTCTGCTGCGGTGGAAAATTCTGCTGTGCCCCAGGAGGACCATAATTCTGCTGTGCCCCAGGAGGACCATAATTCTGCTGTGCCCCCGGTGGACCATAATTCTGCTGTGCCCCTGGTGGACCATAATTCTGCTGCGGAGGAAAATTCTGCTGTGCCCCCGGTGGACCATATTTCTGCTGCAGTGGAAAATTCTGTTGTGCCCCAGGTGGAAAAGTCTGTTGTGCCCCAGGTGGACCATAATTTTGCTGCGGTGGAAAATTCGGCTGTGCCCGTGGTGGATCATAATTCTGCTGCGGGGAAATATTTGGTTGAGCCCCTGGTGGACCATAATTCGGCCTGGGAGGAATATTCTGTTGTGCCCCTGGTGGACCATAATTCTGTTGGGGTGGCCCAAAATCCCTTGGCCGGTTTTGTCGGTTGAAATCTCTGTTCCGATCATTATACCTTCCCCTTTGTGAACCATATTGTACAGGGGGTGGTCTAGGTATGATTGTTCCATTAATGTACTTGTCTCCTGATATTTACAGTATAACAATTTTAACCTGAAGTGAATTGCAGATACTTAATGTGCAAGCTTATTAATATACCAGAAAAGTTCCCACCTCCGTACTCCTTATTTACTGGATCAATGTAAGAATCAGGCAATATAAAAACAACACCAGGCAAACCTGATTCGGAAAATAACAAAAATTAGCATCAGTAACACAGATCATCCATTGTTGTAAAGGGCGTGCCATTGATGCTTACCTCTAAACTTCTCAGACATTTCCTCTGTACACTCAAGCTGAAAACCCTGATAAGTTGTTGTACTACAGGCATAGATTCTCTTTTTTGCCTCTTCCACACTTAAATAACAAAAAGTTCAACCCAAATCAGGCCCAAAATTTGTAACCACAGGCCAGAAAATAGGAACCAAAATTCAATGTTCATAAGTACGGAACGCATAATTGTAGTTAACAGACAATTGAACAATGAAGGAATTGTAATTATGCCAATTATCTGACCATAATCTGCTTGTTACGTCCTAGCAGACTTGAACATCACCGCCTCTGCTTCTTACAAGTAACAAGTAAGGGACAAGCATAGCAACAAAAGCACTAATGACACCAGAACAATGCAACTGTTATCTTGTAGATAAGGTGAATGAGACGCTTGTAAACGAGGGCAAAGCCACCAATTAACCCATCCGTCAAAGCTACAAACCACACTAATATATAATGTCACTAAAATTATGATTCATGTAGATTAATTATTATATGCACCCTGGAAATAGAAAAATGTTCTATAAACTTCCACATTTCATCGTGAAATTACTAAGCCCCCAGAAAAGGATCCCAGAAATTTACAAACCCGGGCTGAATTGGCCTGCCTGGTATCATTTGTTCATTTTAATTACTCACATTTTCTATGTATCCATGCTTGCCATCACTAAAGTCATGAAAAAGGACAAGGAAAAAACATAAATTCCACAAACTTCTACCAAGACCTATAAAACAAAAGAACCTCCCCTCATGAACAGTCAATCCGATGTTAGATTACAGATGCATATAATATACAAGTGTGTGCGTGCGTGTTTATGTACGGATAGAGAGATGAAAATGACCTTCCCACGACTTTGGCACAGGTTTGGACATAGGTCTCGACCATCTCTTCTGCCGAAGGTTTAGGGTCTTTGGGAAAATCCATGGTGATGAGCCAGTGATTATAATCGCATCCTTCGAAGAGAATCGTATCGGGCCCGATCTTGTCTGCATCGATATCGTCGCTGTATCGACGAAATGAGACCGTCGATGATCTGAAGAGTCTGGATTGAAATGGAAGGTTGAGGTGGTGGAGCTGAGTGGGGTTGAGGCAAGGATTTCGGGCGGTGGAGTACAGAGAAGGTGGGGTGGATAGCGTGGGAATAGAAGAAAGGGGTTGGTGGTGGTGGTGATGTCGGTTGAGTAGAGAGGATGAGAGAGAGAGGGCTCGGCGGAGACGGTGAGAGCATAGCGCCATCAGTAGTGATGGGGGTGGTAGTGGTCAGTGCGTTTGTGTGTGTGCGTCTAGATGGAGAAATTAGGGTTTTGGGGTTTAGATATCAACTGGACTGCTTTTTCTTTCTCCTTGTTATGTTGTTGTTAATTTTATTTTATTTTTTTGTGTTGTTATTAATAATTTTTTTATAATTATTACAATTTTTTTCATATTTCTTATTATTAATATTTATTTATTATTTTTTTATTATAACTGTTAATTGAGCCGATTCCAAATAGGAGCCAATTCAAACTCGACTCGTGTTCTAAAAGACCTGAATTTGAATAAATTTTAAATTCATTTAGAAAAATATATTTAAAAGTCTTAACTTAAACTCGTAAAACTCTACCCATTTATATATAAACTAATCGAACTTCTCGAATTCAACTTATTTTTTAAACAAGCCAAGATGAATAATTTTATAAACTAGTTTAAAAAAAAAAACTCGACAAACTCGGACTCAAGTTCACAAAGGTCGCCTTGATTAACAATCCTATCGACCAGTGATCCGACTATCGAATCAAAGATCTATTAACCTGGTCCGTTTTCCATTTTAATTTTTGGGGCCGAGCTTAAAAACTATAATTAGTTGGGAAAGGATAAACAAAGGATTATGATAAAAGGGGAAATCTTTTTCTAGAAAGTTAATTATAAAATACCCCCTTCAAATTGGGTCACATTGTAATTAGCTCCACTTTATTTTTTTTACCAAAATATCAAATACGGATTTTTTTTCTTCGTATATGTAAGTTCAACGAAGCATATAATTTTTTAATCGCATATTACCTACCTTTTATATACCAAATACAAGCTTCTCAAGTTGGAGTAAAAACGAGTAAATATTCAATACAAGAGCGATATATACAATGTCAATATTATCATGTAGTATCATAAATTTAAATATATGTGGTTTATGCGTGATAATGCATCACAAGTTTACATAACAAACCGTGTTCAAAAATTAGGTAATTTGGGTGATTCCATGCTATTGGAAAAAGAAAAAAGAAATCAAACCACATCCTTAACCACTAATAAACATGTAGACATTTTAAGCAACAGGAACAACTATGGATAAACTTATCATTAGCAATAAAAATTAATTAAAAAAAAAAGCACAATGAATGAAATTCAAGTGGCACTGCTTACATTAGATTGTGCATCCAATTTCTTATCGTCAAAATGGTAAAAGGGGAATTCTGAGGTATGTGGATTTATTTGTGTTGACATGAAATTGATTGTTAGGTGACTTAAGAGATACGAAAGAATTTGGAGGGTCCAAGCGGATTGCTTAGGTATAGGGATTTGTTCTTATGTGACGATAAGAAATTGGTTGTTGATTGACTTATCTGATTGATGAATGAACTAGAATTGGTCAAAGGAGATAACTTAGGTATATAATTTTGTTCGGTTGTTTAGGTGAAGTACGAGAGAGACAAATAAACTTGAAGCGACCTAAGGACATCACTTATAATATAGAGCTATAAATATTGTTGGGCATATTCACCCAAGTTGGGTCGCCCCAAATTCTTGGATAGTCGTGTTTGACATATTTCGTAATTTTGTTTAATTTTAATACTCCAAAATTTATTTTTAATGCATGCTATTTTTTAAAATTTAATTTGATAATGTGATCAAATAAAGAAATTTCTACATTGTTTCCTACTTTTCTGCGACGGCCCATCACCTAGGTCCATAAAGGTCACAAATGAAACCGTTTGAGACTAAGGGGTGGATTGCGATAACCTAATCTCATGTCACATTGTCAAATGTGTGTGAACTTCTTGATAAATTGGAGCTTTAAACTTACTTTATACAATACATTTTAAAGCTGTACATATTTAATTACAAGTTTGCCCTTTGTGTCTTAATGGGAACAGATAGATAGCTTTATTTTATTTCCTTTATGTCCTTATAAATAATCTAATATCAATATTTTAGGGGTGAGTATAATACCTCAAATATTAGGACTCTAGCATCCACTATCTTATTCCCACGGATCGAGGAATGATAAGTTTCACTCACAATTGTAAAGTCATAAGAACATAAGAGAAATACTTTGTATTTCAAATTTGTATTTCAAATAAGAAGGACTATTGGATGAATAAGTCTCATCAATTTTTTCAAATAGAACTCACTAATCCAATAGTTCCCCTTCATTGGAATTCAATCAATTAGGCTAGTTATGAGTTATAACATTAAATGCAACCCAATTTTCATGCAACAACTAAAATAAAGCAGAAAAATTTTCCTCATAAGTTTGAACACATCACTTAATAATCCAAAAAATGTCATTCATTTTCAACCTCAAAAATTAGAATTGATAATTGAACTAAACTTTACGAGTTTGAACCGAACCTGACAAATTTATTTCTGTCTAAAATTGTTAATCTCGATGCGTTTAGCAAATAACCCAAACCTAAAATGAGTCAAACTCAAGCTAAACCCGAACAACTTGACTATTTTACATATAAACAAGAAAAACTTTACGAACTTAAACCAAGCTTAAAAAATTGTTCAATTTTAACTCGTCTACACGAATTGAGCCTGAGAAGATCAGCTTAATTATCAACCCTACCACAAATATCAGTTAATAAGAACCAAACTGATAAACTAAGCAAAACAGGAAAAGATAAAAGAAGAGATTTTTTATTCTTTTTTTTTTTTGGTGGGGGGGGGAGAGCGCTCTGAATGATATGCAATATATAGATATGCACATAACAATTGTTGTTGGCAGAGATAGTTCCAAGCACAAAATTCATTTCCTCCTAACTTTTCCCCAATTGAGTTTCAATCTCCCATAGACATGCAAAATCAACAAAGAAAAATGAAAATCAAGTAGCACTGCTTACTTTGTGCATCCACCATAGTATAGAGGGAAATAACTACATCAAAAGGTGAAGTCTCAAATCATGCTAGCTTTTCGGATTTTATAAAAAACCATCTCTACATTCTAAATTTAAGTAAGAAAGCTTTCTTCTACAGCTCGGGGAACGGAAAATCTTTGCTGGGCTTGCTCCCAATCCAAAAGACTTGCATATCATCCTCAATCCTTGTGACTTCCAACCCAAAAGATGACCAGAGGCTTCCAAACGGTTTCACTAGCAATGACTAAAAGTTCAAAGAAGCAACTTCTGTCCAATTCTTCCTTGGACAAAAATTAGTCACACTTGATGTTTCGGTAAATCCTCCTCACAAACAGGTTAGAGCCCAAGAAACCAACAGCTCCTGGACAATATTTGAGAGACATTTAGACAGGGCAAGTACTACATAGTTACATTCAAATAGATAGAAAGAAAAAACCTTGAACCATAAAGCTAGACTTGCAATTTGATCCCACAACTTAACCTTCTTGAAATTAATCAACAGAAGGGATTCTTAGATGAACAATAACACCTCTTAGTAAAAACTATTAAAAAAAAAATTTTACAATAACATCAGCTAGTTTATTGGTTGAAATGCTCTTATTAGTTTCGCTGGAATCTTATATTGATGATTTTGTGTTCAATAAATTGAACAGGGATTCTCACTGAACAATTGGACCACCAGCAGTGCAAAGCATGTAACAAAAAGGGGCAGATTGAAAAATTAACGAGACGCGCATTCAACATTCTCAGGCCAAGTTCTGACCTTGACACCTTTGATACGCCAATTTAGGTTAAAAGGTACTGGTCAGATTTATTCATTTAAGTTTTGTGTATCGATGACATTTTGATAATTCAAAATGGCGCCATAAATGGGCTACATTTCCAGTCCACAAGTCTTATATTTAGTCAAATTATGATTCGCACCACAAACAGCACCATGACCCTTTTATTGTTTGTTCAAAACCTCAAACCATTCCACCTTTATGACACCATTCACGAACCCTAAACCCAATTTCTTCTAAAATTCTAAACCACCAAATCAGCAATCATATAGACAAAATCCTTCAAGCCATTTCCCTGCATCACAATTTAATGTCTTTACACACTTCTCCCACATCAACCAGTCAGTCCAATTATAATTATACTTTCTCAACCTATCTTTAACAATTTTCCAAATCTCTCCAAGAATTTTAAAAATTACAGTGATCTTAATTTTGTGTAGAGCCTACCACTATGAACAACAAAACGAATAATCAACTCGATAAGTGGGACAATTGTAAGCTTCATTGAGACAAGAGGGAAGGACGTTGCGGGAGTTTTGGGCTCTACAAATATGAAATAACTAAACAAGCAATGAAAGAAAAATATAAAAATACAACGAAACTATCAAAACAGCAGAACTCACCGCAGAGAATTCCTAATCCAAGACAAAACATCAGAGTGTATCCAAAGTAGAAGCTGGTTTGGAAGAATCCTGACATCTTAGTCTTCACGGAGTAGTAATAAATTGAATATAAGTACACATAAATAGCTGTTGAGGCAGCAGAGCAAAAAGAAGTCCATTGCCAGTGATAATTCTCAGCATTGAGCAAGAAATATGTTCCGACAATTGTTACACAGACAGTAACAATGATAAGAATCAGAAAAACCAGCAGCATAAAGCCATAGACATAGTAAACCTGTCACGAACAGAAGACAATAGAGTGAATTTAGCTGTGACAGTCAAAATAGTGTACAGTTAACAAAAAAGATTCTCATGCATACTTTTTGTAATCATATATAAGGGAGGGTGTGGGCATGAGGAAGCAGTGAGTTTATAATCCAGCTAGATCCTTTTAGTCCACAATCAGCAATCCGAACCCCCCTAAAAATTATACATGTAAAATAAAAAAGATCATGCAACACAACCTATGCATTCGTGTCTAACCAATTGGGTCTAAACCATTGGTGGAGCAACCTCAAACCAAGAAAAACTGGAAGGGTAGGTTTGGCATTGAGTGTTTACTTGGCCCTAGCCAAATCTAACCAGCACAAATCGCAACCTCAATTTTATTGCACATTAAATACCAACCAGAACCATTTACTTTCTCAAAGCAAATGTGAGCAAACAATGTAGGCTATACTTTTTGTTACTAGCAAGAATATTTTTAATTTGACTGTTGAGGCATTCAACAAACTTATCAATGCATGTCGGACAAGCACCAACACCACTGCCAAAGCTCATTTGTTTGAAGATCTGTGTCACAACTCACTACTCATGAGCTGACTTTCAAGCTTCTTTCCAATACACAAGCCACAACTCGTTTTTCGTTCAAGAACTCCATTCTGACAAAATGGATAATATAAACTGTATGGTAAGTACCAGTAGTGATATTGATGTCATTTGATCATGCCACCAAAACACAACAAAGAGTTGATAGATTTACCTTGTAATTCCAGAAGGATGTGAAGACAAAATACATCTCAATAAATATGCTGCCAAATGGTAGCAATCCTCCCATCATTGAGATTACAGATGGTGTAAGGTACCACTTCTTCTCAGGAATTGGACGAGGAATGGTCTTCACACGACATGGATTGTTGGGGGCACCACTCCAGTTTCTTCCCACAACGGTACCAACAAGTGCCAAAGGGAAAGAGATGAAAGCCCAAATGACAAAAACAACCACCATCGTTCCAAAAGGAATAGCTGCTAAAGACCCATAAAATATAGCAATTGTGTTCAGGATGAAACCAATCCCAAAGCACAAAAATGGGAAAAGTGATGCTGTGAGGATCATTGATTTTATCCAAGTTTTGCCTGTGAAAAGGACAGAGAGACCTTCATTAGCAAAAATAAATAGAGATAAAAGCAGTATGTTTTTGGGAAATCAGCGTAAAACAGAAATAGGGGACAGTGCCTACCGCCATTGCGTGAGTACATTCCCCCGCTCACATAACCAGAAATGAACGATGTGAAAGCATAACATACAATGAATGTTGTGACAATTGATCCTCTCCTGAAAAACATAATTTGCATTATAAGTAGCAACTTGAAGCCACTAATAGCATCATTCAGCATTGAAGAAACTTGCGAAGACATCAACACAAATAACAACAACAAAATATAATTTACCAATACAGCTAACACCTGGAACAAAATGAACATAAATGGTACACTCAGACAGCCATCAACATAGATACTGCTTAACAACACAAATATGCCAAACACCTTAAAATGCTTCTCAACATACCCGATGTACAACATTCCAAAAATTGCAACCAAGATGACAAGGAGAATCAGTAACGCAAGTTGAGCTCCCGTACCAACAACAGCTGAAATTAATACTAAAAAGCGTGGAGATCGAAAGACATCCCCATGCACAAGTTTCCAACCAGACTCTTCGCTCACATCTCTTTCCTGAAAATGATTTTTTTAATAAATAATTGAGTGATTAAAATTTAAAATATCCCCAAAAAGAATAATCACTAGACATAATAAGACCTCTTCAAAAATACAAGGGTTACCAGAGTTTCCAGATCATCATCTTCTCGAGCATATTTGGCATAGTCATTTCTAAGAGTTCGCATCAATATCATTGACACCAGACCAGTGAGGAAGATAACCATCATGAATGAATTGAAAATAGAGAACCAATGAATCTGCAAAATGCAGGATGCATTTATAACTCATTAAGTGGGACATTAGTAAATGATAACAAAGTACAATAAAAACAGCAAGTACCACAACGAATCCCCTCAAAAGTCGACTGCATGAAAACTCACGTTAAAATGGTAAGAATGGCTAGTGTTATAGCAAGGCGACAGAAGTGGTATGGAAAAATCAAATTTTAATGAGCATAGCTACAATGCCACCATTGTCCCAGAGAACCTCAGAATTTATAAACAGAATAAATAACCTAAACGTAAAATAACATGAGTACCAATATTCACCTGATGCTCAAAGAAGGGATAGTCCAGGTAAACATCAAAACGGTGTGCAAAAGTGATGTTAGTTGTCACCCACTGGACAGAATATGTCAGATCCAATGACCTACCCACTTCCAATGGTTTTGGGCTCTCTTGAGTGAGATTAACATGAATGATCTGAAAGAAAATGAGGTTATTCGGCGTCAGTACAAACAAGGAAGTCCTTATTCAAATCCGGTATGAGTACATCAACATGGAACGCAAAAGGTTTTTTCCTTAACAAATAAAAAGGACGCATTATAATATCCATAGATGAGTTCAGAAGCCACCAAACCTGATCTTTGTTGTATCTAACAACAATTTTCTTGTGTGTGTAAAGCACATGCTTGTTAGCACTACTCCTATCAGGATGCAACTCACCAACAAAACCTGGATGATTGGTAAAGTGGCATTACCAAGCACTAAATAATAGATAAACTGCCAAAAGAAACTAAATAAATCACAAAAGGAAGTTGGACGAGTGCATACCCCATAAAGGCAGATCATCTGAGCTTGTATTCAGCACATTGGAGACCAAAGAAAACAAAATCAGAGAAGGGGCAACAGTATAAAACAAACATGCTCCAGAAAACTGTATCCAAGAACTCAAACCCCAAATCACAAAAAAAAACACACAAATATACAATAGATCCTACATATACAGAAGCATTATGAGTAGAAAAGCAGCATACACCTACTGTTATACAGGATTAACAAAAATGCAAGCATATAATATTGTAAACAAAGAAGAAAGAACCTCCATATTGATATTGTTTCATGGGTTCCTAACATCTATTGTGTTGTAGTTCTCATTCTTTTATGTATTAGTCATAATTAGCAGATGTAGACGTAGGGTAATATTGTAACTACCCTAAATATGTCTCTACTATAAATAAGAAGGTGTAGGACAACACAAAATACACACACACACATTATTCTTCTCAATCTTTTCTCTCTTCTTCTCCTTTTTCTTCTTTTCTCAAACCCTAATTCCGATTTTACTAATTTACCTTGATATCAAAGCACGATCCAATAGAAAAAAATTATAAGGAGAAGCAAGACTATCCAAAACAAACTATGTTCATCGCGGTGTCACTACCGAAAAGTGATGTCATTCTTATGTCAACATGACATCAACAGTTTCCGATGACCAAGAGGAGAACAATAATTAACGATTTGAAAAAGAGAGTTTGACCGGGAGTGGGACTTTTAAGAAAAAAAGCCCCATCATCTTAAAAGATGATATAGAATAAATGTTTGAACTGAGTCTTAAAACACACAGTGATTAGTCCTAAAAAGTGTGATATTTTGGTACATTATTATTAATAGTATACATTGATCCCTTATTAATAATGTCAATTATAGTTCCATTTTTCACTCGCTTGGCTGTGTGTTTGTATTTTGCAAGTAAATAGCATAATGTACGGAGCGTGAGCATGCATGCAAAATTATGTGCATGGCAAGGAATCAATCCATAGCCGGAAGGGATCGATCCACAAGAAGATTGAAAATTTGACAGAAAGTTAGAAGTGATCAATCTATCATGAAAGTGAATCAATCTGGAGCATATTAGAAGGAGACAGAGAGTTTGTGTGGAATGATTCACGTTAAGAGGGATCGATTCTCATCGGTTCGTTTAAAGGGGTCAATCAAGCTTAAAAAGGATCGATCCACTTGAGGAGCCATTAGATGAGCCACCAATTCAAGAATCAATCCACCAAAGTCAAAAGCCAAGCCAAGACCAAGATCAGGGAAAGCCAAGCCATATGATGTCATACCAAATTGGGATTCTTTAATAAGGATAGATCCTTATTAAGAGGGATTGATCCCTATTGCTTTGGAGAATTCGAACAATAGCTTTTGTTGGAGCGATCCTTCGCTATTATGGATCAATCCAACTAGGGAATTTCAACCAGAGTCCTAATTCATCTATTCCTCGATCAATATCACCCCCACTATAAATACACCCTTAGGCTAATAATAAGGATATGTTCTTCTTCCCAACAAGTAGCCTTTTGAACTATTTTATTATTTTCTTTTTCATTACAATTCTTGGAGATTCAACCATGAATTGTGAGTAATCTTTTTGTCCTTTCTAATTAGGGTTGAAGGATCTATAATTATTTATTTGAATCTTTATGTTTATGCAATTTTTATTTTGATCTCAATGTCAAATCTTTTATTTATTCGATGGATTAAATGCTCTTAGTAAAATTTGATATTTTGCACAATTTTTTGATTATTCATCAACTGGATCAATTTTTGGTATGAATAATACTTATGATTCCCTACAAGTATTTTAACTAGTTCTTCAAAATTTATATTCAAGTCAATCAAACTAATTGTTTGCTAATCAAAATATTTTTCGATTGACTACACTAGCATTGAAAATCAACCAAGATAATTAATATTGCATAAATATAATTTTCTAATAAATAAGAGCAAATCTGGATCTCGAAACCAGAAAGTTGTTTGCCAAATTATTGTTTACCCTAAATTTATTTTTACAATTGTTTCTCAATCAATTCTACTTTTTACAAAACCTGTTTTTTCTTATACTTTATTCAATTTACTCATTCCATGAGAATCGACCTTAGACTACACCGAGTTATTACAACTTGACCACTAGCACTTCAGTGTACCACATTTGGATTCAAGACCTAGCGTCTTCCAAACACTTCAGTTCGCCAACGAGAGAGAGAGAGAGAGAGAGAGAGTAAGATGAGAGTTTGACTGTTTCACGACTACAAAGGAGGAGGAGGGATTCTTCGGTTTACATGCATGTATAGGGTTGAAAATTGTTGATTTTCATGTGGATTTTTGTTTTTGGGTGCCTATTTTTTGATTTATTTTATATAATTCTATTATATTGGGCTATTTTCTACAAAATTGTCCAAAGGATTTTCCAGTGGTCTCATCTTTTCTCCTTTCTTTTCCTTTTTGTGTTGAATTTTTATTTGTCTTAGATTCTAGATTTGCTAAAGATTTCACAAAATTAGTTTCAAACCAATTTAACTCAACCGAGTCAAACAAGTCGACTCCGAGTTGCATTAAAGCTGCCGAGTTCTGATCGAGTTAACACCGATTCACGTCTGACTTGCGATATTCATGTATCGTACATCGTTATCTGAACGGTGGAGGTCGAGTCGTAATCATATCGAACTCGGCCAATACTTTGAACATTGGTCCGTGATTTATAGATTGTGACAACCAAACAACTATTTTTATTGTAAGTAATCCAGTATTTCATATGCATACTAAACACATGTAAATCGTCATTTTATAAAAGATCTCTTGATGCAAAAGGAGATTATCATCCCATATATCAAATCTGATGATCAACTGGGCATCTTTGATTTTTATGCTCTTAACTTAAGGGAGTGTTAGAGTTCTTATTGTTTTATGGATTAGTCACAATTAACAGATGTAAGGTAATATTCTAGTCACCCTAAATATATATTTACTATACATAAGAGGGCGTAGGACAACACAAAATACGCACAAATATTATTCTTCTCAATCTTTTCTCTCGTCTTCTCCTTCTTTTTCTTCTTTACCTAGCCCCGATTTTACTAATTTAACTTACTGTATTAATACAAAACGGGAAACTAGTTTTTAAAAGGAAAATAACATATTCACACATGCATAAAACCAAATGAACCAATGCAAGGTTGCAAACCAATAATAATGTAAACCATTAATTGTTCCCAATCGATCTAACCAATATGGTAATTGATTCCAATAAATGTCAAACAAAAACCTCATTGTTTGCTCTACGTTTTGAACTTCCAGTAAAGCCAACCAGCTTCTTTTTTTTTTTTTTGTTGGGGTGGGGGGGGGGGGGGAGGGGGTGGAGTTCAAGTATTTTTTCATAAAGCAACCATAAATATTTAAGATTGAAAATCAAAATATACAGAGTAAACAATTTAAATATCTAAGCTCGATCATTAAAAATGATGAAGAAATTAGAGGTGATGTAACTCATAGAATCACCGCTAGTTGGTTTAAGTGAAGGAAAGCCTTTGACATATTATGTGATAGAAGAATACCAATAAAATTGAAAGGTAAGTTTTACCGATCAGCTATAATGACAGCAATGTTGTATGGAATAGAATGTTGGGCAATTAGGAAATAACATAGTGTCAAAATGAGTGTAGACGAAATGAGAATGTTAAGGACCTAAAGTAAATGTGTGGAAAAACTAGAATAGATAAAATAAGAAATGACCATATTAGAGAAATGGTAGGAGTAGCTCCAACTAGAGATAAGTTAAAAGAAAATAGATTAAGATGGTTTGGTTATGTTCAACGAAGGCCGATAGAGGCACCGGTTCGAAAAAGTGAGAATTTCTCTTAATGGTACTAAAAGTAGGGATAGACCTAAATTAATATTGAACGAAATAATAAAAAAAAATATAAAAATATTTAACTTAAATGAGCGTACAGCGCATGATCGAAATGAATGGCGAAAACAAACTCATTTAGCCGACGCCAAATGATTGGAACATAAGGCTTGGTTTAGTTTGGTTTTGGTTACACAGAGGATTAATTCTATTTTACCCCAAACACAAAACTTGCAAAAGCGTCATTAGATGCTTTAATCAATCAATATTTAGCTATAACAAAATGCAACCTCACTGTTGCCTTACAATAATATCTACTAAAATCATAAGTATATGATAAGATTCTCTTGTCATTGCATCTCTCTACCGAAATATGGTGCTGCTTTCACCTTGTACAGAAAGCATGTTTAGAATAACATTCCGACAATATGGTTCAAGACTTCAAGTTTCAATAGACTTCCAATTCTTCTAAATTTTTCTACACCATCATCAAAGTGCATATACTAAATTAGATTTACATGAAACAATGTATTCAACCATCATCATATCAACCATACATCAACCAATAAAATTTCACCACATACCCATGAAGAATTCAAACCAGTAGCTATTTTCAATAGCATCCTTGAACTGTTTGACCTTCGCTTCATCAAGTTCAAGTACACAAATGGTACTCTTGTCCACATTTTCTGTGATAATCAACATAAAACATATTATCATTTAGCCACACAACATTACCCATACAAAAGATTAAAGAACGTCTACATACTTTGGTATTTTATGTCAATCTGGCTATCAATAAGCTCATTTCCACCCAAGACCTCACCAAGACCACCCCATTTGTGAGCAGCATTACCAGATGGATGACAAAATGGTAGGTTGTAATAATTGTAAGTCTCTTGTGGATTGTTAAACGGCCCAACTTTATTTACCCAAAGGGTAACTTGGTCATCCTGTTGATACTGCAGAAGAAAGTGAAAGGCTGTCAAAGAAATCATGTCTGGCTACCAAAATACTTAAACCAGAAAAAACAACTTAGCTACAGGCTTTTTATTCCCGTTCCTTTATTTTCAATAGTTGTTCATGTTCAGTTCATATTCTTTATAAGTTGAACCAACCTTGGTTTGGCATAAGTCAGTCAAGATTGTGTTCGGTCAGGTATCAAAATTAAGAGAAAAATCTAAGATTAGACTTGTTGAAATGGGTGCACATGATCAAAAGTAGATATCATGTAAATGCCATCAGAAACTAAACAATAAAATATAAAAGGAAGAGAACAAATTAAACAAGCCTAAATCAAATAATCTGAATCTCTATATATAACTTTAAAAACAATGGATTTTTGCTTCTACCACCATCTTCATCCATGAGAGAGAAAGAGACATCCCAAGGGAGAGACACAATCATATCTAAAAACTATTATGCTCACACAACAACAGGGCTGAACAAAGGCATGAGTAACTGCTCACATATAATAAAAACCGAGTAACCATGTTTGGACCCTATTTGGTCAGAAAATAAACAACCATGACAAAGCCTGTTGGCAAGCCAGCTGCTCATGATCCTAACAAATTATGCAAGCCCTAATTCTAAACCAATAATCCACCATGAAGTCAATTCAGGGGGGAACCCATCACACTCATCTATGTCTCCACCAATGCATTCTGGGTAACAGGATAGGAAAGAAGTAGAGGAAATTTATGATTGGTGAAGAACCCTACTAAAAAGGTCAAGAGAAATAGTATCATATCTTCCGGCACCAACCCTCAGTGATATTGCAATTGCTACACTACAAGTGTTCGCATATCAAATACGAACGACATCCAAAATCCAAGAGTAGTACAACTGCTGTACCACTAAACCGCACGACTCCCCCACCCTACCAACACGTTTGCCCTACCCCAGCTCCGATCACTAGCAGCATCAATAGCAAACGCTAAATTCAGACATAATCTAATAAAACAGAAAGGCAAAAATGGAAGAAAACGAACCAAAAACACAAAATCCTCCTGAGATCTAAACCCTAAGCCGTAACCGTACATAATAGCAAACCAAATGTAGAGGAATTCCCCTCTTGAACCTCAAATCGAGTCATGAATTACAAAACAACCCAAAACCTATCAAATCACACAGATCTGAACGAGTTGCGAGTGTTGTAGTTGTACATTTGCAAATCGAGATCTGCGAATTAAAACGTAGAATGCCGAAACGACAAAACCCAGCTAAAATTACGGTTTGGAAGAAACGAGTGTGTAGGGAGTGTACCTTGTGATCTGACTCAGAAGCGAACGCCGGCGAGACGACGAAAACGGCGGCGATGAAGGCGATGAGAGAGAATGATCGGACGATCGGCCGCATCGGGATCGCCGGCGGTGGTGTGGATCTAACTCTGGCGGAGGGGAGAGAGGGGGGGAGGGGGGGAAGATAGAGTCGGGGTTATATTGGATTTGCTTGCGTTTGGGTTCCTCGGAAGAGATAGAAAGCCAGAGAAAGAGAGAGAGAGTTGTCACGCTTAGGACTTCTTGAAATAATGGTTGGTTGCAGTCAACGAAAATCAGATAGTAAAGTAAACTATATGATCAGTTTTCATGATTTGGAAAACTTATATCCCGGTTGTACTATTTTCACATAATTTTTTTGGTTCAGACTTATACTTTTAATTAGCGACGTGAATGGATCAAGAAACAACGAGTATTCATCAAAACTCATTTCGTTTGGATTGAGAATAGATCATATATATTGGATAGTGAACATATACAGAGATAATCATATAAACTCACACGAGAATGAAAGCAAAAATAGATTGACACTTACACCCGTCCCACCTCTCCTTGCGCCTTGCTAACCCATGATATATATATATATATATATATATATATATATATATGAACCCCAATCCTGTTCCAACTCACGTATAAAGTTAATTTCAAAATTCAATGATTCATTTTATTTTTTTGCCCAATAAGGTAAGATCTATTATTTTTGTGTTCGTTTTTATAACTTTTGTTAGATCTGTGATCTTTTGTATTAGATTTTGTGATGAATTTTATTAGATCTAAGGGTCTATGGTGTGTTAGTTATTGAAGGTTTTTGATTCAGATCTATGGTGTATTAGATACGAGATTTTTAGATGTTGCTTGTTTTTTTTTTAGATCTATGTGTTAGATATGCAATATTCTAAATTTTCTAATTTTATGCTACTTGAATATGGTATTTGTTGAATTTTGATTATAGTGTTAGATATGATTTTTGTTGATTTTTTAAGTTTATTCTATTTGAATATAATTTTTGCTCTTTGAAATTGTTGAATAGACTTTTTTGCTTGAAAAGTGTTAGATAGACTTTTTACCCACTCAATATATCAAATACTAGTCCTTATTGATGAGGCAAATAATGTGGTAATTTTTAGTTGGTGCAATTTTTTTGATTTTTTGGATTATTTACAATGTTAGACTATGTTGGGTTTGGACTTAGGCAGGGGTGCAGGTGGGGGCGGGGGCGGGGGTGAGAATTACAAATTTATCCACATACTAGGATGGGGATAAAAACTATATCCATTAGCGGGGGAGGACCGGAGATAGACAAAGTTGTTTTAAGAGGGTATGGGATGAAAACTGCACCCCCGCCTCCCGCTTTGGTTCACTACCATCCCTACTTCTAATATAAGTGAATAATTTTACAGTTTCTAAGATGCAAACCAAATAAGGTCATTTTTAGAATGTTAGATATCGATTTAAAAAATTTTAACTCAATTTTAAAATATTATCCCAAAAATCTCAAAAGGTTATAGTTGAACCCGAAAAATGTTACTAACACCAAGAACTTAGGCTGCCCCTTCAAATGTGTATAGCAATGTATATATAATAGCATCTCTTCCTTCTTCCTCTTCATTGGCTAAGTGTGAGGTGTGGGTGGTGGTGATTTCTCGAAGAAGTTTTCTCCTGTCGGTGTTGTCATGGGTAGAGCCAGTCATAAGCCAGAGGGGACACTGACCCACCCCGGAAAAAAAATTATATTCATTACCTATATATATATATATATATATGATAGATGTTCTATGAGTTAACTCATTGGTGGTGTCCAACCATGAGTCCATAAATCAACAATACTTAGCAGTACCTACACCGATGATCCATGTAAACTCCTTTTATTTATTCATCTTATTCACATGTACCCTTAGATCACCGTACAACACTAATGGGACTTTGAGACATAATATAAAAACAGGGGAAAGAACAATTGTAAAATAGCAATGCTAAGATTGTAAGTGCGACTCTTCGACGATTACAACGGATATAACTGGTACAAGCAAGATTGTAACGGTACAAGACCTTTCTGTAACCCAATGAACCGGTACAAGTTGAATTGATACAACATGTCTTTTCTTTGATTTGCTTGCTGATGCTTCCCAGTCCATTTCCACTACTTTTCAAGTCTTCCCCGTGATATTACTTTGATTCCGAAACATTCCTCCCCACCCCTTGTACCTACAAACACCCAGTTTTCACCATTTAATCAAAACTCAACATTAATGTCCAAGTGGGACATGACTCCTTATGGTTTTTTTTTCTCACAAAAAAAATTATATATTTCACATAATTATGTGTAATGTATAAGCTCCTAAGAATATCACATGAAATTATCAAAAAATAAAAAATCATCATTTAGATTGAAATTAAGTACTAATTTACGATACGATAGAAAAGTGAGAGGATGAAAAATTGGAAGGATGAAAAGTTTGAGGGATAAATAAAACATCATGTTTAGTAAGGAAGGAAAGTAGAAAGGATGAAAAAGTGAATGAATTAACTTTCCTTCCAACTCACCAAAATCAATCCCTCCAAAATTGGAAGGAAAGTGAATGAAAAGTTAATTATTTGTGTTGAGATGTATCGTATTTATCTATATATCTTTTTATATATACATATAGTATGTATACATTAATTTCATATAAAAATATAATGGTAAAATATGTATATATATATATATATTTTATTTTTTTTAAAAAAAATTCATCTCAACTAAGGGTGAAAATTTTCAACTCAACACGATTCGAACTCGATACGAAAATAAACAGGTCAACTCGCAACTCGACACAACACAATTAGTTAAATGAGTTAAGTTAGGTTTGACTAATATTCGACGCAAACCCGTAATGACTCAACATGAATCTGACACGACACAATTCGATTGTCACCCTTAATCTTAGCCAGCACTGAAAAAAAAAATAGTCATTTTTGTTTTTCATCCATCCAACTAAATACAAAGAAAGGAAAATATATCATTCATACTTTTCATTCTCCATACCAAACAGAGCATAAGAGAGACAGAGAGAGTTGGAGGAATGGATAGAGAGAGTAAAGACGTGTGAGAGATAGGCACAAAAGAGTTGGGGGAGTATAGAGTTTGAAATAAAGCTATTGGGTGTAGGGTGTTGATCACGCCCAAAGAATAACGCGACAGTTGTAGCATATCTTTGGGGTGTCGATTCCATAAAGAGAAAAATTAAAAGAATAATAAAAGGAACAAAGGAATTAAAGAAAATATATTAAATGATTACTAAATAACAAAATTTAATTTTAAATATAACTTAAAATGAAGTAAAGTGACTAACGAAAAAAGTATTCAAATTTAACAAACAATAAAGCGTCAGAAATCCCTTACACATATCTAGTATTTTAATTATTCTTAATTCATTGAATAACTCAACTAGAAACTCAATTTTCAAAATTCTCAATCGAAAGGTATAAATTTATAAACTAAGATTAAATCAAATGCAACTCATTGAAAAATCATTCACTACTTTTAAAATACGTAAATTATCATCACTATTGAGAAAATTTAACGACGACAATATACTCAAGAAGTAATATTGCAGCAAAGAATTAAATCAATATAGATAAATAATTGATCCAAACATAATCAAATAACGAATCCTTTCAATAGAAAAAATATGATTGAATCCATAAACAGAATAAATTCTATGATTATTCGGAGAAGAAAACATCAACAATGAATTAAGCATGATAAAACAAAAAAGTTTAACTAATTAAAAATCAAATACATAAATTAAAAAAGAATAAAATATCATTTACTGTGAAAGTTCATCCCTCGCCTTATCTTGAAAATTTAATTACTCATAAACATAATGGAGAACAAAAATCTCCCAAAAAAATAAAATAAATCGGCGACCGGCATTTTTCTGCTCTGAACTACGTTCGCCTCTCTCTGTCTTTTTCTTCTTTCAGCCGCCACACCAAAGGAAGAAAAACCAGACGCCAGGCACACGAGAAAAGAAAAGGTAAGGGTTCTTTTAAAAGTCAAGACCCTTTTTGAAAAATATTTTTTTCTCCCCCTCTCTTTTCCAGCTTTTCTATTTCAACTTCTAAAGCTTAGATTTTTTTACTTCAACCCCTACAACCTAAATCTTGTATAATTTGAGAAAGATAAAACCTAATAAAAATTATGAGTGCCGAGCCCACATGACAGCAACATCAGTTTTAACCTTTTTACTCCATGGGCTGCCATAAAAATAAAAAAAACAAATATAAAAGCCCAACAATAAAGTCCCAAAAATATTAAATGTAAAGCCCAATTGTAAATTATCTCTCACCAACCCTCTCTATATCCAAGTGAGGTTGATTTGTAAAAATTTTGCTTGAAGTGACAAGTTTTTAGACGGAACTTCAGTAACATGCTCTTGAGATGTTGGGCAGTATAAGTGAAGTGATCAGGGGATGCGGGGTGTACATGTTGTTATTACAGTTATTAAGTGATATTACAAGTTGGCATTATAGATTTCAATTAAAGTGTTCATGAGGGTCAGGGTGTGACTCTTCCCTTGTCTTAAATAATTAGGTCGCATGGGCCCATGCTTCCCAGCTTAGGAGACAAGAGCTACAAGGCATTTAGCATTCACCTACTGGGCAATATGCAAAATATCATTAAAAGTGTTGATATTTTCTATGTGAATCACGAAGAGTTTCATATGTGCCCATTTAGGGTTTAGTAGGGAACAAATAACAGCTAACACTTGCTATTCTTTCGTAAAGTTATTTCTAGTAGCCCATAAATCACGTATCACAACGCCCATGACATGAAGATGCTCAGCTATGCTATGCTTAGGGTCCTTCCTATATTGTGGGAACCTAAGGTTCAAGCCACGATGTCTAGTTGCCAAAGTATGGCCAAAAGTAACATTTTGTTCCACATGTCTTGGGCCATGAGGCAATTCTCAAATTCCCCAACATGGTTGTTGTGTATGACGCTTAACATTGTAAAGTGTGTAGGCATGTCCTTTTGACCCAATTCTGAAAATTTTACTTATCACGATAAAGTTGGGCTATGTTGTCTTCCTC